CACTCTTGTTTGTTTGTTTGTTTTTAGACAGGGTTTCCCTGTGCAGCCCTGGCTGTGCTGGAACTAGCTCTGTAGATCAGGCTGGCTTTGAACTCAGAGATCTGCCTGTCTCTGCTTCCCAAGTGCTGGGATTAAATGTACCAGCTACAGATCACTTTTAAATGGCTCATGGGCCAGAATATCTCTAAAGAAATTTGAAAATGATTTGAAGCTGGGAGTGGCAGCGCACGTCTGTAATCCCAGTGTTCTGGGATGCAGAGGCAGGTGGACCTCTTAGTTTTAGACCAGCCTGGTCTACAAAGTGAGTCCAAGACAGCCAGGGCTGTTACACAGAGGATCCCTGTCTTGAAAAACAAAACCAAAGAAATTTTAAACTGAGGTTAATAAATACATAAAATAACAAAATTTATGAGATGCATCTAAAGCAAAACAGAATTTTATAGTGTCAAATGCCTATATAAAACAAGAAATGTCTTAGGCTGGAGAGGTGGCTCAGAAGTTAAGCATGCTGGCTGCTCTTCCAAAGGACCTGGGTTCAATTCCAAGCACCCACATGGCAACTCAAAACTGTCTGTAACTCACACTGACAAATATGCAGACAAGACCCCAATGCACGTGAAATAAAGATAAATAAAATTTTTAAAAGGACTCGATTCAATAATACAGGCTTCTACTTCAAGAAACTAGGAAGAGAGAAGCAAACGGAAACCAAAGCAAGTAAAAAGCAAAGAAATCAGAAAGTATAGATACTGTGCTGGAGAGATGGCTGAGAGTAAGTTAGGAGCTTTAGAGGACCTGAGCTACACTCTCAGCACCCACATCCGGGAATCTGACGCCCTCTTCTGGCTTCATTGGACACCTGCACCCAAACATAAATCCACATATGCAATTAAAAATAAACCTTTATATTTTAAAAAGAGAAAGAGTAGAAATCAGGAAACACGGTCGGTCGTGTACAAGGCAATAAAAAGAAAATAAATTATTTCAGACCTTGGGAGCCAGAGACAGACAAATCACTGATCTACAGAGTGAGTGCTACACAGGAAAACCCTGTATCTAAAATCAGTCAACCAGTCAAACAAAGAAACCAAAAGCTCTTTCTATCTATCTTTATCTTTCTATCTATCTTTCTATCTTTTTCTTTCTTTCAAGACAGGGTTTCTCTGAATAGCCTTGGCTATCCTGGACTTGCTTTGTAGACCAGGCTGGCCTCAAACTCACAAAGATCCACCTGCCTCTGCCTCTGCCTCTGCCTCCCAAGTGCTGGGATTAAAGGCGTGTGCCACCAGCACCCAGCTTTGGACAGGGTCTTTCTATGCAGCTTTGAGTGTCCTGGAACTCACTATATAGACCAGGCTGGCCTCGAACTCACAGAGATCCACTTGCCTCTGCCTCCCCAGTGCTGGAATTAAAGGCGTACCCCACCACATCAGGCTTATCTCACTCTTTCTATGGGTATCCCCAAGACCGAGCTTTAGTGCCCACAGGTGCTGGCAAAAGTGTGATGCCCACAAGGAGTACCTACTCTGGTGTCCACCAGGGATTTTGTTTTGTTTTGAAGTCTTATATAATAGCCCAAGATGGCCTGGAACTTGCTATGTGGCTGAGAATGACCTTTAACTCCCTGTCCTCCTGTCCCCACTCTGAAGGAGTCAGGTAACAGGAGGGCACCATAAGGACCAGTCTCATCAAGGATCTCAGGAGCAGACTCAGGCCCAGGACCCCAGAGTGACCTGATGTACAGAGAGTCCGTCACAGGCCCAGGACCCACAGACCATGTTCTTCAATGGCCCTTCAGGCACAGTGAGCCACCATATCTACCATGCCCAGTGAAGGGGGTCCTGCTTTCACTCTTTTCCTCAGCCCTGGGCAAAGCTTCCAAACAGATGTTTCTCATCACAGCCTCGCTCTACATCCCGAGCCTGGAGTTCCCACAGAGGCTGGTGGGAAAGGACGGGGACGAACAGAGGCGCATGTTCCACATAAGCCTTCCCTTGGGAGGCCCTATGAGAGATGGGAAACTGAGGCCCAGAAAAGGCACTGTTCACCCAAGAACCCACACAAAAGCTGCTCTTCCCAACACAGCCACCCACACGTCTGGGAACACAGAGGCATGCTGGGTGTGGTGGGAGGACCCTGGGTCCAATCACTGGCGTGCTGGGGCGGGGGTGCGCAGAGCACCGTTGGGTGTGGGGGAAGTGGGCTGTGGCAACGAAGGTGTGCTTCTTCAAGGCTGCGTGACGGAGAGTCTTCTCCGCCCTCGGCTTCCAGGAGACTACTCCACAGCATGGCAGTCTCCACGGGCGAAATCGGTCCCTTGGCATCTCTCAAATCTAGACATACCTTGGATGGAGGGGAAGAGCAGCTCTCAAGAGTGACCACCAGAACCACACAGGGCCTGCCCTTCACACTTGGCAGAGGAAAGGGGCTATTGGAACCAATCCCAGGAGCCCGTATTTGCCTTCTCCAGGCTGCGCTACCCAGGTTCAGAATGGAGGTGATATCTATCCTGCCTGTAAGTTCTTTCCAGCATCTTCCCTTGAGTGTCTGCCCTGGCAAGCTTATCTTTCCCTGAGGATTAGAGCCCTTCCTTTGAGGAAACTGGCCTGGATGGGCTCTTGGAACCCTGGTGAGTGCGTTGGGGATGGGCAGACAACATGGACACAAAACCAGGATACGGTGATTGCAGTTTGCCGTGGAACCACAGCCCACACCTAATAGTCTACTGACAGTCCTTGGCCCCGTAACTGAATTCACACTTCCCTCCATTTCCGCGGCATTCCACGCCTGGCCTTTGGTCACCTCTCATTCTCTTTTTTAGATACTGGAACTTGAGCCCAGGGCCTTGGATATGTCGCTCAAGCACCCAGCCCTTGGCTGGCCTCCCAGCCCTCTCTTGCTCTGTGGAATAAAAGTCAAGATCCCCACTGTGGCCCCTGTGTGGTGGCTCAGCCCTCTCCCAGTCGTCTAGCCTGCTTTTCCCTGTTTCTGCCTGTCCACCGCAGCCTTCCTTCCACTCTGGAGCACACCTGGATGCTTCTGCTCCAAGAAGTAGTTTCATCTGCCTGGAACTGGACAGTGGACCTAGAAGAGCAGGAGCTGTCTGGTCGAGTCGCTGTAGACTGGGAATGAATGCAGCTGCACGGATTCCCAGTGCACCTTTCAGTAGTATTCTGCCTGCCTGTATTCCTGCAGGCCAGAAGAGGGCACCAGATGTGGTTGCTGGGAATTGAACTCAGGACCTTTGAAAGAACAGCCAGTGCTCATAACCTCTGAGCCATCTCGCCAACCCCCAACAGTTTTGTTTTGAGTGCTGGGATCATTTGTCTCTGCTAGCAAGCTACACTGCCCTGCTCCCCCACCCCTCAAACCCTCCCCAACCCCTCTTCTCTTCTTTGTGAGGCAGGATCTTTTCATGCAGCCCTTTTGGCCTGGTAATCAATATGTAGCCCAGGCTGGCCTTGAACTCAGTGTGGTCCTCTTGTGCCTCCATGTATAGTCCTGCTGCCAACCACCCCCTTTTGAAAGAGGTCTGACTTTGTAGCCCAGGCTGGCCTTGAACTCATCAGCAGGAAAGAGCAATCCCTGAGCAGCTCTGACAAGCTCTGTTCTGGACCCATGCTTCCTGGAAGTCATCCTGTGCTCTCCAAGCGCTTACTATGGCACACACACACACACCCTCACACACACTGTGGGAATACACACATACACACAGTAATAATACATTTATTTTATTTATCTTTTTAAAAAGTTATTTATTATTTTTACAGCATTCTGCCTGCATGTGTGCCTGCATGCCAGAAGAGGGCACCTGACCTCCTTATAGATGGTTTTTTGGGAACTGAACTCAGGGCCTTTGGAAGAACAGCCAGTGCTCTTAACCTCTGAGCCATCTCTCCAGCCCTTGTTTATCTTTTTTGAGACAAGGTCCTTCTACATAGCCCTCACTATGTCCTGGGACTTACTCTGTAGAGCAGACCGACCCTGAACTCACAGAGACCCACCTGCCTCTGCTTCCCAAGCGCTGGGATTAAAGTGCTTCACTGGCACAGCATCAATAAAGAATTCCTCCTTTGTTTGTTTCTGTTTTTGAGGTGGTGCCTCACTATGTAGCCTTGGGTGGCCTGGAACCAGCTATGTAGACCAAGCTGGCCTCCAACTCACAGAGGCCTGTCAGTAGGTAATTATTTATTAAATGTAGCTGAGGTTTTTCTGGTAATGAAATATTACAGCCAGTGAAGAAAGATACATGACGTAGGAGCCAACCTTTGATCTCTCTCATGGGAGAGAAAACTGGAGCTCAGGAACATTAGGCGGTTTGTTGGGAGTCACACAGCTCAGAGGAGAAATCAAGGGGGAGGCATTATCTCTTTCCTTAGAGACAGGGTCCTGTAGCAAAGCCTGTCCTTGAGCTGTGAGATCCTCTTGCCTCCAGTTCTGAAATCCTGGGATGGATTGCCGGTGGCCTGCTGCTGAGGGAGGCTTTCCCCTCTCCTCCTACCTCAGGAACCTCTCTCAGGGTGAAAGGCAGAAGGAGCATCCACAGTGGTACTTGAAGGAAGCTGGGGATGGGAGGCTGGAAAGCTAACAAGATACTTCTGTCAAGCTTGTAATCTCAGCGCCCCAAAAGTGGAGGCAAAAGGTAGCTCAGGGCCAGTCTCTGGTATATAGTGAGTTCGAGGCCAACCTGGGCTAGAAGAAACCTGGACTCAGAACCAAATCAGAGAGCATTCCTGGTGGGATGGCACGGAGAAAGGTGTGGCGGCTGGGACTTCCTCCTGCTCCTCTGTCAGCAGGGGGTGAGGGGGGTTGTCTACGGAGGTCCCCACACTGGTGGGGACAGGACGGACAGCCACAGTCCTCCCTCTTTTGCTATACCCCTGGGAACTTGGTCCTGCGAATAGACAGAGGCGGGACATTCCCACGAGGGGGTGGCGGGCGGAGGCGGGGCGTGCTCTGGTCCCCTTGGTCCCGTCTGCGGTTCCCTGCCAGTCACTCAGCAGGGCAACTCTGACTTTCTTCGCCGCCGCCTCCAGCCTGCAACGTAAGTCCCGCCCGCCCGAGGGAAGGGTCGCGGTGTGTGTGTGTGTGTGTGTGTGTGTGTGTGTGTGTGTGTGTGTGTGTGTGTGTGTGTGTG